AGATTAATTATATTCTTTAGTTCTTTTAACTCTTTCTTATCCTTATTAACAATAGATTATATCTGAGCAGCTATTAATACCATTTTATAGATCTATTCGAAATTAGTCCAATTATCACTATTAAAGATTGTAACAGATCCTTAGCGAGTTTATACAATATCTATAGGATTTGTTATTATAATGAATTAAAACCTTTGTTGAAAAAGTCAGAGTTTTTATATTTAATGAAAAAGTTTTTGTATAAGATAAGAAGAAAGTTATCTCTTTTGTTGTTTATTTATAAATATATTAATTAATATATATTGATGCAAATGTTGATTAATGTGGGATTATAATCTGTTGGAATATTACTAAGATCATAATAGGTATAATAGTAATAATATTGTATGTGTGTATCCTTAGAGGTATTCTAGTGGGATTGGATATATGTATAAATGCGTGAGGCATGTGCATATAGACGATATCACGTGAACTATATAACGTGACATTGTGTGAGCCTGGACTGCACTTCCAACAATAATAATGAAAACGATCGAATTTTGGTCTTCATCTGTATAGATATCACAGCTTATAAGTGTTTAGGCGATACAGAATTTTATCTTAAACGATTCAGATAATTCCTAGGAAAGTAGCAGGTTTTATAACTTTCCTGTATAACTCTTATATTGTATAAAATCATGGCCTTATTACATAGTCCGTATAGCATTAGCTATGTGTAGATCAAATCGATTATGAATTTACTACTACTACTATATCATAATTATAGTAATAACAATATGTCTCGCGCAGATGCAATCTTTAGTGAGTTGAAAATCGTAGTGTTGCACTGCGAGGTTTAATGTGTAACTAAATTGATGTTACCGGTATATGATTTGGTTTGGTTCGAATCCACCATCTAGAGAAACGGAAGCTTACGAATTATTTATCAATGGAACATTTGGTGATTGAAAGCTTTGTTGTTGACTACCAATTGGTAAGTGTTGTCCAGATGATACGGCACACCTCGAGATTTTCACCACCCTCTATATCATTCATCCATCACCAACCAGCTACATACAGTACATACTGCTCTTGGATATCGAAACACAGAACTACTCCACCCATCTCCAGCCTCCCCCATTTAATTCTTGGACTTGTCGGAAATTTTCCAATGGACAATTGTGCGTTACAGCTCGAAAGAAAATACACGTCTATTGTATACATATTGTGTGCAGAGTTTTCCCAACCTCTTCGACCTTTCTCTACAGGTTTAAAATTTGATTTAAGGTGAAAGGTGATAACGCTGCCGAAAATCGCTCAGAAAGTGAGTATCAAGTCGGCTAAAAAGTGAAAATAAAAATGAATGTGAACAATGCCAGGTGAAGGTCAAATTGTGAAACTTATAACTTGCGAGGAGTTAAATGATATTGCAAGTGAGGTGGCACCTCAACTGATATAGAAGAGGCTCAAAATTGATGTCTACAGAAGATCCTCTACATTTTGATACCCATAATGCCAAGCTTTACCCCTTCGCTTCACCATGAAGTAGGTCACGTGCTGTGGGGAACCTCCTCAACAAAAGGCCTTGTCAAACACTTCGGAGAGAAGCATGAAGATTAACTCAACGACATGCCTTTGTAGAGATTCTTCCATTCAAAAGCAACCCTCAAACTTGTCCATAAATACAGTGAGATGAGATGTGCTCAGGTCTTGAACACTCACGATCCAAGCCAAAGCGTCCTCTAAGGTCGCAGGGAAGGGAGGAAGTATACTCACGCCATGTACACTCACCTTCTCTATGGCTCCAAAAACGAGTCACCATGATGTGCTTCATATTCTATGAGTTGAGGAGGGGGGCTGGGAAGAGATGTTCGGTGAAAATACCAAAGTCCTTCGCAATTGGCTTAAGCGAAAGACTTCATTTCATTTCACCTTCGAACATCGACGACGACATATCGTCTGATCTCTTTACTTAACAGCCACCTCCCATCAAGGTAAACCACATTGAACGCAGTTAATTGAATTGAAATACTTGAGGATTCTCAATTCCTTCTTCCTTTCTTCTTCTTCCCACGAACACGAAATACGACGAACGGATACTCAACAGCTCACTGCAACTTCAATTGAACGTACTTGTACAGTCAAACTTCCTTTCTAGCCAAAGCAACCATTCAATTCTTCAATTCTTCTCACAAATCAATTACTTGTGTATCATCAAATACTCCTTTGGAGCCTTTTGTACCAATTAACTGCTCTTTTTGAGACTTTACTTGTTCACATACTTTTCAATCACTTTCGCATTACATTCTTCTACCGCTTCTTACCATAATCCTTCGTCCCACCTTACTTATCCAGTCAATTACTCGTTATCGTCGATAGCTACCCCTAAGCAAATTCTCTTCTACCGAGTCAATTATCTGATTCAATTCTACTTATTGTATCTACCTTACAACCGCAATTATTTGCACATACACACACTCTTCTTCTTCTATCTAATTTTACGTCGGAGAACTACTCCGACTTGACTGTACAATCGCAAATCTTTGCACATACACATACCTCTTTTCACTTACTTCAAGCCGGAGAACTACTTCGTCCTTTCTGCACAATCGCAGTTATTTGCATATACATCACCTTCTTCTCTTCCTTTAATTAATTTCCGAGAGCGACTTCGATTTTTACTGTACAATTGCGATTATTAGCAAATACACACACCTCTTCTTCCACTTTACTTTACGTCGGAGAACTACTTCGATATTTACTATTGCGCAGAATTCGCCAGTCGAAAACTAGCAATCACCACACCTACTCTACCTCAACTCACGAGATAACTCAATTTGAAGGACTACTTCGAGGCTATTTCAGTGTACGATACTTACGAATTCTTTGCGACTTCTTTACGACTTCACTTCTTGTCACCAACACATTTCGTACGTGGAAGGACTACTTCTACGACTTTTATCGCAAAGTTCTTCGTTTACGACGACTTTGTTCATTTACCAGTTACTCGCGACTTTTGTCACTGTAAGTAAAATACCCCTTCATGCTTTTTGCGACTTACTGATGATAGCTCAAGTGTATTGCGATATTTCGAACGCAGAGCACTCATTGAGTTGACTTTGCTGTATTTCCTGTCACGAAGATCTCGAGAAGACTCTTCGTTGTCAATGTAAGTTATAACATCCTTCCATTCATGCTTTTTACAATTTACTGACAATAGCCAAGTACTTTCCCAATAACCTCGACGTACGCACGTCTTTTACACACCACCTCACCTACCTTCACTTTTTACCTCAAACCTACGTTAAGATGTCTCCAACACAGGCACCAAACGGTTCTCCAGCTTCTTCCCAGAAGAAAACTGCTGATAACAAGTGCGTTCTTACCACCAAGGGATGGGTCTGCGCTCTTTGCTTCCCTTTCGATGATCCTAGCCGTGCTCTTGAGCGCGTTTTGAACTTTGCTGAGCTCAAGGCTCATGCTGCCGGCAATCATTATGCTCAACTTGGACAAAATGAATGGGAGACCTATGGTAAGTTGAATCACCCCTTACGATCATGGCTTCTGCTAACCATCAATATAGTTAACAAGTCCGTTTACTACGAGGCTCATTTCAAGAATCAAGGCGATCTTGGCTTGAACGGTGGTGTCATGCATGGTCCTCCTACCATTGCTTTTCGAAAGACACTTACCAAGCAAGCTGGTGTTTCCAAGCGCAAGTACGTTCGCAAGGTCAAGCCTGTTTTTGAGTCTGCTCTTGACCTCATGGAGAGTATGATCAACTTTGATGGCAACGCTGATGATCGTGTCAAATTCGAAACTCCTGCTTCTCCTGGTGGCAGTCAGGATGGAAACAGTGAGATGAGCGATGTTGATGTTGGACCAAATTCCCCACAAACTGACATTGGCATTGGTTCTTTCTTTGATCCATTTGCTGCTCATCATCAATACAGTATGCATCCAATGGGTGTATCCCAGGTCGGCACATCACCAACTACACCACAAGCTAGCGCTATATCTTTCTACGGTCAATCTACTGCTCAGAATCAATATGGCATGCATCCAATAGAAGGATCTCAGGTTGTCGCCTCACCAAGCACACCATCTCGCAAGAAGGCTGCTGCTCCCAAGAATCCTCTCCGTCAACGTTTGAGCGAGAATCCTTCATTCGAGTCGGCTGTCTCTGTTCATGGTCTTGCTCAAGTTCGAGCTGCTGGTAACGCAGGTCTTCAGCGATATCTCGAACGTCAAGCTCGTGGTCTTCCTCGCGCAGCCAACGTTCCATTAACCCTATCTCCTCCTCGCAATGGCACCATGGGTCTTCCTCTTACTGCTGCAAACTACGCTGCTGCTGGTATGCCAAGCATTCAAGTTGAGAAGGCTGCTCGACGTACTAAGAAGGTCGATCGTCGTCGTCAAGCATCCACTAGCCTCAGCATTGCTGATGATGTTAATGCCGATACCTCCCCGTCTACTAACGCTGTCCCGATCAACCTCTCTCTTAATGAGTTTGGTGTTCCTGCTACTATCTTTGGTCAAGCTCCTGGTGCTGTCTACAAATCTCATACATACAAGTCTATTTATGCAGAGATGACTCCCAAGGAACAGCTTCCTCTTCCTGAGTTCTCCCTTCCCGAGCTTTCTCTTCCTGAGCTATCTCTTCATGAGCTCTCTTTTCCTGCTGCGAGCAACAACATTATTCAACAGGAACCTACTTATGATGTAGGCACAGTTGGCATGTTTGGTGATGATCAAGCCACTGGTTTCACTGACGCTTTCATCGCCAACTTCCTCAATGAAGACATGGAAGCTCCCAACAACTTTAACCAAGGCCAAATTGACATATCTCAACATCAAGTTTTTGGTACTCCAGAGCCTGAGCAACTAACCACTGGCACGAGTCTCGATACTCCCGACTTGGGCCTTAATGGTACCTGCGATGACGTTGACTTGAACTCATTCTTCGCAAGCCCCGACTACAATTTTGAGGACGATTTTGTCCCAGCCCCGACCATCTCACAGCAAGACAACAGTGTCTTGGATGATTTTTTTGCTAGCCTTCGCTGCTTCTCGTCATGTTGACGTTGTTTCTCGGCCTGTGGCTCGACCCGTTCCCGTTTCTCGACCTGTTCCTGCTGTTCGGCCTGTTCCTGCCGCTCGGCCTGTTACTCTGCCAGCCAATCAGGTCTTCAGACCTAGGTCACCAGTCCGTGTGACGCAAAAGGTCCTCAACAAGAGGAACAAGTGGGTTTCGGTGGACGAAGCCCTTGCGGAGGTCGAAGCCTCCGCAAAGGCTAGAAAATCCACCGAGGTGGAAAAGAAGGTGGAGAAGAAGGGGGCGGCGAAGAAGTCGGCTAGGGCCCTCACTTTTGCGGAAAACCCATTCGGTTTCCAGGGTTTCGCGGGTCTCAAGAATCTCGAGGCTCTCAAGAAGCACGGCCCTTCAAAGCCATCTAGTTCTTAAGTGGTCTGATGGGGGCTGTGTGGATTGGGACTTGAGATTCTTGAGACTCGGGAAACCTTGGGGATTGAATGGGGGTGGGGGAATGGAGTTTGTATGAGTATTTAGTTTACTCGTATGTTTAGATAGTTATTCAAATCCAAATGTTCATGTACATTCGTTTCCTGTATTGATTGATTCTGATCTTGAATTCAATCATTTCGTTGAATCGTGAACAATCTGATGATGGAGATACATCTATCTGTGCTTGGTGAAATTCAAAAAAATACCTAAGTACCACTGAAATATGACAACATCTGTCACGTGTTTATGACATCTCGTGGTTCGAAGGGTACCTCAAGGTATACTATCTCCTCAGAGAGTGTGATGTGCTATTACTCTAGATTTTGGGATGGTATAGAATATATTTACGGTTATGCTTTGCTACATGAAGAGAGTCATGTGATACAGAACTGCTGTTACCCAGGGATATCAAAGAATGCATCTAGTATATATCAATATGTCCTATCTTACCCTGAAGGAGTCCTACTGGTATTATAGAGTCTGAGACGATATAGACAAGGTGTCTAGTCCTGGCCAACTACAAGAAAACACTCACGTGATAGTAGTTTTGCCATAATCCAAGGATGGCAGACGATACGAAAGGTACTCCTGCTCATTCTAGAAAATGAATGTTACCTTTTTAGCACTGCAGATGATATATAGAAGATCGCCGGGTTGTATTTGACGATATGGCCAGTTTCACGTGACATCGAGCTTGCTGTAGTCTTCATATATTAGAATATAATAGATTTGATGTTCCTCCTCGCTATAGAGAACTCCATACTATTTATCTAGAACTGAAGATGGCATATAAAATAAAGACAGTTCTATTTGTTGACATTCAAGCCCTCGTGTAATTACAGCTCTGCTTTAGTCTTAAGGCATCGGAGAATATATCAGGTAGTGAGTATTACTTGCTATAGAGGGTACTATACTATCATTTTGCAGCTCGAGGCGATAAAGGCGAGAATTTCTGGTTACATTTCGTTAAATAAACGTCTTCCCCAAGTTACACTTCTATTACAGTTGGAGAATATATCTGTCACGGTAGCTAATATGCATGTTAACCCTTGATTAAATGCGCACTGTTCAGTTGTCATTGTCTAATTATGGATAGAGAATACTGTGATATCCTTTTGGGACAATTTTGTACACTAAAGTTAGCAAATCAGCGAAGAATCTAACATGCATTTCGGGAGAGAAGCCTGACCAGTCCTTTCTCATCATTATGTAAGGCGTCTAAAGAATACCGAGTCAAACATATTGCCGCCAAAAGCATACCTTTCAATGATATTAGCATGACTTTGTCACTGGATCATCATGGTATATCAATAGCATTTAGCATAGTTGACGACACCTACGCTTAGTTTAATGATTTTGACGTTTTTAATGTGGTATCGAAGTAGTACCAAATCTTTGATCATTCTATCATTGATCGCGTGGTAATACCGGTACCAATTACTCGTAGTTCAAATCTCCTTTTCTTATTTGCATCATAATAACATTTGCACATACTACCAATTATTTTGATCTCATTAACATCAGAATGATTGATTTGAATGCTAGAGAATTTGTTCAATATAAATCACACTGATCGCATACTTATTAAAGCCTTTACCGCCAAAACTATGCTCTTGGTTCGGCTTAGCCTACACCGTGAAACATAAATATGGGCGTGACTTCATTACTCCAGTACGTTTAACGAACTTCGTGCAACCAGCATAATAGCTCGTTTTTCACGAGTCGGATATTTTGCCGATGCACACTTAGGGGTTAATAATGTTACAGTACTAGTGTGTTATATTCCTACGGTATATGGGCCTGTCCTCTATCGTCCCGATTGGCCCCTCTCTCATGTAGGCTTTTCTCTCCCAGTTAGCTCCTCTACTTCCACGTCTAATTCATTACGTTCAACGTTATATCATGACAAATGAGAATTTGTAACGTACAGTAACAAGTCCCAGCTTCTGATCTAAATCAAATCATCACATTTTATCACATGCTTATTGTTTCTTTGATAATGCGCGATTTAACATCTTCAAAATACTCAGTAGTAAAGCTGCGTTTTACGGTTTCACTACACTACAAATTCTAAATTTGTCAGTCGAACAGAACATTCGACATCCAACGCTCTTTTGAGCAATCAACTTATCACCTAGGAAGCCTCGGCTGTGAGATTACAAAGTACTTTATTCAGAATTACCTTCGAAGGAGTCCACAAGACGATGATTTGGTTGCACCCAAAGCTGCGACTCGCACGCTACAATCGTGTCATCAAAGACTTTGATGAGGATCTCAAGGGATTCATGGAAAAGCTGAGCCGTTAGCCTCCTTTCATTCTAAACAATGAAATAGGTTACCCTTTTTTTTTAAAACACCTAACTTCTGATCGGCAGATAAAGACGTCTCTAAAACCAACGACAGAACAATTTATTGAAATCAAAACGCATGATGTAAAAAAGGTGGATAGTTTTCAAGAGATCATCTTCGAAACCTTTCAGGATAGCTAGTATATCATGGGAAAAACTAGAGTATTGATGTCGTGACTGGCATGATCAAGACAAAAACTTCCTCATGATTGTACTTGGCACCAGGGTATTCAATGGTCCAGACTGCAGTCCAATTAGAGAGATTCCAATATTCGAAAAGGTTTTAAATCTTTGAAAAGAATTGAAGAATTTCAAATAATTCATTAATTCAAATGTATTTAATAATTGAAATAATTTCAATATTCTTGATATATTCAATGTTTTAAATCAAAATAATATTTGAAATTTATTCAGGAGTTAAGAATATCTTAATATTGGACTGCAGTCTGAACTATTGGATACTCTGCTTGGCACAGTGGGAGGAGATGGTATGGAACAGAGTCTGAGAGTCACAGATGTCACGCTTGAATTCGGATGGCCCTACTTTATTTTGATTCCCATCGGACTGATCATTTTTGCCTTATCTGACTTTTCTAGGTTGCTAGATATGCTGTTGTATATAAGACTGCATCAAACACCGACAAGCAGCGAAAAATGCTGGTCTGTGAAGATTTTTGCGGTAGAGATATTAGGGCATCGCACGAAGAAGACTCTATTATCTACATATCTCATCTCGCATTATACATAATACCACAAAACCCTTCCACAATTTTCATCACATCTCTAAACACCAGTCATTCAACAAGAATAGCAAATGTCCTATTGTGCATTCCTGGTAAAATCATCGCATATTTTGATGTGGCACGGAGACAAAGGAACTTCCAAGTGTCCATAGCTGATAGTGAGTGACTTGTACAGCTAATCCCGTCACGCTCCTCCGAAAACTAATTGGCACAACACAATATTATTTGTATATTGAATGAATGAACTAGATTTTAAGATAAAGAGCTAATCGAAAGAGAAAGGCATTTATACGAAAAAATAAGGCTTGAATGGTATAGCTACTTACACGATTATTTGCAATAGGTATATGAGACACTAATACTGTAATAGACACCTCCAAGAGAGGTATCGACGTCTTCGTTGACCTAGCCAGTTCCAAGTATAGAACAAGCCTCCATAAAAGACCAATGTCATATAAAGTGTATAAATCGAACTTAAAATGGATCTGTTTGTTGAGCTAATAATACCATCAGAGCGCGTAATATTATTCTGTAAGTTAGCTGTATGAACTCCAGGAAAAGCAGGTGGGTGGAGAGAGGAGGGAGAAAGTACGATGACGAAGTTTCGAGATATATGAATTTGCCGGTGCAATTAAGAAAGTGGGTAACAACAAAATCGAATGTAGTTTTGGAGCAAAAGTGTTCAGATTGTCTGGTAGAAAGACTCTCGAGATCTTCTGCCTAATACTTGACAGGTTTAAATTTTGAATCCTCACTCCATTCGTCTGCGAAATGCGTCGCGGCTTCGATTAATAAAAAGTTCCTTACTACCATGGTAATTAACAAGTCCTCTCCTCTGAGTACATCGAGCATAAAAAATCAATACTCTTAGACCGAAGTGTAATCAGGATATAGGTGGTATTCCTGGCTTGAGTACCTCATGGCTTGGCTGTATTTTATACGTTCGTAGATAGGTCTGAACAAAATATTTGTCGGATCTGGAATACAATATACCACTTTTGTTCGAAAGGTAAAGTAATGACAGTAAAAATATAACATTAGGGGGTTTTCAATTACTTTCATGAGTGTGTACCAAACTGGAAGTTAAGTAGTGCGGACAAGGTAAAGAGGCTTGAGACAGACAGTCTGAAATATATGCTACAAGATAAGAACAAAATGGAAGTTTAGGGAGTATGTAGTCGGTTTATTGCTGCTGCAATACGATGGTGATCCTTCACCTCAGGATTCAGGCAAGAGCGATGGAAAGCGGTACCGATTTAACTAAAAACATATACAGTGATCGAATTATATCCTAGATAGGAATTATATGTGGATACCATATTTATCAAAAACTCTCCGCTATGACTACAGTGAGTCAAAACATAAAAGTCACAGAGTCTGAACTGACATCAATTTCAACCTTTACTGCAACTCTACATTCCAGAGGAAAGACTTGAATGTCTTCTCACTTCAAAATCCTAGTAGTCGTCCCAAGAAACCGGGCTCGGAGTCCTCACCCTCGGAGGGGCTCTTCGATTATATTTCGCAGTACTATGTGGTGCTCCCCCCCGCGTCGCAGCTTGACATTTGGGACACGCCTCCATCTTACAGCTCGGACACTGCAGTAGATAAGTCCAAACCTCAGAGCACTTTGGACATGCTTTACGACCTTGTACCTTTTGCCACCACCCGTAGTGGCGACATAGTGATGTGGAAGACTGGCTAGTGCCGGGTACAGAGAAGTTCTCGGGGCGATTGAGATGCGGAATTTTTTCACGGTATCTTCTGTTTTCATCGTGGAAGATTTTCTGCCTCTTTCTGCCCTCTTCCTCTTGTTTTCTTAACGCCTCTGCTTCTTCTTTTCTCCACTTTTCCTGCTGTTGCTGTTCTTGTTTTCGAATCTTCGCTAAAAGCTCTCTTTCCACTCTCTCAATCTCTTGCCTCTCTCTAGCTCTTTTCTCCCTTTCTAATCTTTCCATCTCTTGCCTCTCTCTAGCTCTTTTCTCCCTTTCTAATCTTTCTTTCTCTTCTCTCTCCTTATTCTCTCTGAGCCATATCTTATTTCGGATGTCTTGCAATTTCCTATCATCAACCAAATCCGCAGCGTCCACCTCCTCCTGCCCCCTTTTTAATAGAATTTCCTTCTTCTTCAAATCATCTCTCTTCATATCCAATCGCCTCTCCTTCATATCTTTCTCAATTCTTATCTCTTGCCTCTCCCTATCCTTGCGTTCTTTCTCCTCCTCGGTGTCTTCTGCCTTTTTGTATATTGGTGACAACAACCATGTTCCCCAACTATTCTCCTGTGCCTTCTTTGCTACCTCAGCAGCCATAATAACTTCCAGGTTTTTGATTTGTTGCTCCAATCGTCGAATTTCCACATGCAGTACGGAGCTTGAGGAGTCAAAAAAACCCTTCGTGATCTGCCATCGTTTTGCGCGTTCTTGCTTAGATTTTTGAAGTGCAGCAATCTTCGAAGCTTCTTCAAGTGTTTCAGATTGCTGGGTACGAGGCGTTTGTGTTGCTTGAGGGAAGGAGTGACTTCGCGGTATAGAGGGGTAGATGAGGTCGTAGGCTCGGCGTTTGCTCTCATCCTCCAATGTCTCGTAGGCTTTTCCAAGCTTCAGAATATTTTATTTCAGCTTGCATACCTATAACAATCGACAACAGAATTATCCTGTCCCGGAAATTAACATACCAGTTGAAAAGCTGCAGTGGCATCGTGGCTGGTATTTCGATCTGGGTGAATCTTCTTCGCTAGTCGTCTATAAGATTGTACAACTTCCTCGCGCGTAGCAGTTTGCGCAATTTCAATGACCATGTAGTAATCGTCTGTGATTGGTACCGGCGCCATTCCTAAGCAAACCTTTTCCCGGAAGGTAACTTATCTAGTGACCGCTTGAAAGAAACAAACAAACATGTTCTATTATCGTAGAACCCTCGCCGCTGCAACTATCTGTTAGTTGTCGGTGCAGGTGGGGCGCACTGCGCTTCCCGTGACTCAGAATGGAAGTTTAAATGTCCAATCAGAACATTCAAAAACGTTCCAAACAACAACCAAACTTCTTATGATCCAACATTCTTATAATCCAGCAATGTATCAGGCGCTTGCCATGATTGTGTAGGTATAGGTGATTTCTTTTGATTCTCTGAAGTCACATAAATACTTCATATAATCTGAATGATTTGGTCAATTATATACCGGTATATCGTTCTTCATGGTAAGTTGTTTAACAAGCAGAGTGGGTAGAAACGTTGAATGGACCCAAGTTCGTTTCGCACCTATGATGTAATAATCCACCATACTCGTGACTTTTTAGTCTAGTTACATTCCATTTTAAACTTATGGAGAGGAAAAAAGTTTGATCCAGTACATGTACATGCAAGATGCGAGAACCATCCTTTAGCCATGATGAAAGTGTGTGCGAAGCACCAAAAAAACTACGGTTATCCGGTCTATCTTTCTTCGACTTGTAGTCGCTACTCGTGGACGTCTTTACTTTTGCTTCACACCCAATTTATTTTACATCCCCTTCAATCATATTAATCCTGGATCTTCTCTTGGACTTTATCTTCGCGGAATCCCAGGACGTGAGTATCTACAACTTCATTATTTTCTTATCTGATTGAGAAACCAGTGTTTCGATACTTCCTTCAGAAAAAGAGTCAATGAACGACTTGTATCCCCCCTTACACATGAGAATGAAAGAAAGCTACATTCAAGTAACAGGGTGTTGAAGCAATGGTGAAATCCATGCTACGTGTGTTGTTTACGTTTTGCGGCATGATGTCTGAATGTACGAGAAGAAACTTCATGGCGTGCAGTGGCGGACTATCAATTGGATCGTATAGCGCTAGCTACACACATAAACAACCTTTTATACATAGCTTTCTTTTCTTCTGCCTCTTAAATTATAGGTTGTAGATATTAAGAATGTATTGAAGCAATTGTACCCTAAGTCATCATAAGGAGGCGGAGAGTGATGAATAAGAGACGGCATAGCCCCCTTCCTTGAATCGCTGCTGTTAGTTCATGTCATTTTCACACCCAGGGCAAGATCCCAGCATTCAATTGATATTCGGTTACTGTCCCTTAGGGTTTTAGACATACAATATGTCTGGTAGAGCTACACGCCTTAGCCGTCTTGTATAGTGTTAGATTGATACAGGACGTCAACAAATGAATCAACCAGCCAATCTACCTCTTTGTCGACACCCGTAATGCTGGGTTCTCCTCGCTATCATAGAAATCCGAGATACCTCTTTGAACCGCTGGACGTGCAGCAATGCGGTCAATCCACTGTAGTAAGTGTGGAAACTGCGCCATATCCTCGACAGTAAATTGCGCATACCTCCAAGATCGAACCCACGGCCAAGTTCCGATGTCGGCAATGCTGTATTTGCCTTTTCCTGCTCCCGCAAGAAATTCTCGTGGTATGCCAGTATAAAGTCCGGAGAGGCGGAGTTCAAATACATTATAGATGCGCAAAGTCTCGGTTCTAAAGCGTGAAATGGCATCTAGTAATGTTTTCATTTAAATTAGTTTGTATGCCTCTTACAGGCTCTTCTGTGAGATAAAAGTTTGAATCGAATTGCTTACAGGGGATCTTTTCTGGTGCGGATTTGCTGAAATGGTTGTTCTGTCCTTGATTTGGCTGGCCCGATGCTTGCCAGAAAAGAAGCCATTGTATTGCATCGCTTTGCTCGCGCTTATTATCAAATCCGAACATGTTATTTTTATCAAACATATCCGAGAGATATAGAAGTTCTGCAGATGATTCCATGATGGGAAAGGGTGGCGTCACTGTATTGTCTATCAGGATTGGAATTCGTCCTAAGAAGCAGCAGTTTAGTATCTAGCGAACAAATCTGAAGTATATCATACCGTTGGGGTTGAGATGTAGGAACCAGTCTTCCTTCTGCTCATCTGTTTCTAGATCAATCAAGCTAGTTGTCCACTCAGTGCCATATGCATCCCTGAGTTCTTCAAGCAAAATTTGCACCTTCTTTCCGTTGGGTGTCGATTCGGTGATCAAATGGAGTCCCTGTTGCCGATTCAGTTATAACGTACGAGTACAGCCTGTGACTACCCGCTTACCGTGGCATTCTTAACTGCTGCTGGAGTATCATCAGTGTAGAGCTCCGTCATTGCCGAGAATGAAGCAAAAGCCTCTTTTCGATCGATGTCAAAACTCCTCAAGAATGTCAAATGGAAAACAGCCGGGGGAATACACAGCTTTAAGTACTTTTCCGCCTGTCTTTTATAAGCAGGGGTTAAGATGTATTAATACGTCCGTAGGCTAACGTCAAGGTAACCTTATGCTTCACACCCGAATGTAATCACAAGTAAGCCAAACGAATCAAAACGCCTAGATCAGAACTTTACACAGTAGTTGTGCTTTGGATATTATTTTCGCTGCCTAGAGGCTTCCACTTGAGAGTGTCTATTAATACATTTTTAATCTGATCACGACTGAAATTTTGCATTCCAGGTGCAGTAATATATTATTTGATGGGTTTTTTGCAATTAATTATTGAAGGGGTAGGCGGATGACATTGTCAGTCAGTCTATGCAGCAGCAGCAGCAGCAGCACGAACTATTTCCCTGAACTACCCGCAATCACATTTGTCACAAGGTGTCCAGGGGAAGCCTCCTGCAATGGAAAGGACAAGAAAGGATAATTATCTAATTCTATAGTCATATGTTTATTTATAGACTTACAGTTTACTCCATTAGGTACTCGATTATATCTTCAAGCTTGAAGGAAGTGGATCAAAGTCCGAAGTAGGCAGGAGCGTTCAAAACTTCACCATCAAATATCTCCTCCAGTGTTAACAGCCCAAGGCATAGACAATTCCAAAAATTTCTCTAACATGCGATGTGCTGAGCCGTTCCCGACCTACAGGAATATGTTTGAGTTCTTCAAATATCTGTACTTTGACATATCTGCTGTAGTACCGACAAAGCCGACAAGTAATGATCCAAGATCCCCTTAAGTCTACTACCCCACTTTCGGGCCACCCCCCCTTTCGGGCCACCCTAAAAACCCACACCGCCTCAGCAACCTACCTTCTTAAATATTTCATGATTAAACAACCATTCAATCAATTGATTTCAAATTTTGAGAACACTATTATTCATATAATGACGAACCTCTATAAGGAAGACAATATTGCTGAAGCCTTAAATGCTATCGCAAATGGTGTTTCAGTACGAAAAGCTGCTCTGGATTATGGGATCCCTTATACCACACTTCAGAACTGTACCAATAGGCGAGTCTCCCATAAAAAAGGTGCCCAAATAATACAAAAGATTGCCCCGATTCAGGAGAGATGATTAGTAGAATGGATATTAGTACAGAAGAGCTTGGGTATTAGTCCTATTCATCAGCAAATTCGTAAAATTGGAAAGCATCTTCTCGATATAAAAGAAGTCGATTCTACCCTTGGGAAATAATGGATACACAACTTTTTGGAGAGGAATCCAGAGATTAGAACCAAGAGATAATATAAGATCGATTTTGCCCAAGTTTTGGGTGCTTCACATGATATTATTGCGCCATGGTTTCGAAAACTCGATTTACCAGAGATTATCGATATAAAACCTGAAAATCGATACAATATAGACGAGGCTAGTATAATGGAGGGTTAAGATCTTAATGGGCTAATAATAGAAAGTTCCCAGCGTCATCATATTAAAAAAAACAGCCTGGTTCAAGAGTTTGGACATCTTTTATCGAGTGTATTTTGGTAACAGGACAGGCCCTCAAACCACTCGTCATATATAAAGGAAAACACGTTCAACAACAATGGTTTCCCATTGATCTTGATCTTTATAAGGATTAGAACTTTATTGCTACAGAAAATAGATAGACTACAGATACAACAGGGCTAAAATAGTTGGAAAAGGTTTTTATACCTCAAACTACCCCCTCTCAAGCCAGAGAACCATAATTATTTATATTGGATAGGCATAGAAGTTATAAAACTATACCTTTCATATACAAATGCTTTGAAAACAACATATATCTTCTATTTCTACCACCATATACGTCATATGTCCTACAACTATTAGATTTATCAGTCTTTTCACCTCTGAAAAATGTCTATCGACATGCACTCAATAATCTGAATTCTCTCTCTGATTCTATACCAATTGGAAAACGTAACTTCCTTCATTGCTACCAGGAGACTAGAATAAAAGGTCTAATAGCTTATAATATTAAAGCTAAATGGAAAGTATTGGATCTATAGCCCAAAAACTTTGTTAAACCCCTTATAAATCGATTATTGCTTAAAAACAGCAACCAAAAGGTTTTAACACCTAACCCAGCCTCTGATAATGATCCCCAGTTTCAATGGAACATAGAGACATCAGTTATTACTTGGAGAACCCTTCAAAAAGCAATAGATCTTCGATTATATACATCAACTATGACTCAAGAAAAAGAGCCCGATTTGGTAACAAGATACTTGCTTTTTCGTAAGATTATTAAAGCTTTTGATATCAAGAACTATAATCTTATAGAATCAGGGAAACGTATAAAGCAATTGGAGTATCAATTGGATACTGTTATACCTAAGAAAAGATGTAAGATTGTTACTAATCCAAATACCAGGTTTACAAGGATTAGAGTTATTAGGGAAACGCAAATCGTGGCTGGAGACCATAGAATTAATGCTGAAGATAACGATGGTACAATTGAAAGTGATGGTACAGGCGATTTTATTGAAGTTGAATAGTTGTTGAGTTATATGGTGTGGGAGATGGGGGTCTTTTTTTTAGGGTGGCCCGAAAGTGGGGTAGTAGACTTACAATTTGTAAGACACGGTTCAGATACGACGAATTCAAGAGCTTCAGTAATGTGATTTGAAAGAGAAGTCGTCGAGGTGATGTCCAAACAGTGACAGAATTTTATTTTTCTGTGGGAGACAGAGAATAATCGATTATAGCCACCTAGGATATGAACATGGTTAGAAGCGGCGTGCTCAAGAAGCTGTCCGAGATGGGGTCTATAGATATTACTTCCAGATGCATGCGGAAAAATAGACCTTATGTATTATCCCTCACGCCATACACCCACAAGATAATTGAAGCTGCAAAGGAACTGCCTGCATCTTACCTCCTCTCAGAGGCATCCCTCCTATCAACTAGTAGTAATATTTAGTCAAACATATCCAGCACCAGTATACCCCGCGTCCATCCCTTATATAAATCGACTTCGGATGACAAGGGAAATATGCGGTAACATGAGAGTGAGAGGAATAACTTGGAGAGGTGCCGAACTCTCAACGTCTAATACCAAATAAATAGGCTTCCAGCAACACAATCTTCTGAGCAGATACTTCCGCGGAAATAATTCAATGTGCAAATATCTCAAGAAAGAAATATTGTTATGAAGTTTCACCGACATTTAGTTTACAACACCAGTTCTGAATTTAGCATATTATCCTGTAGCTTCGAAGTGGAAGTCATCGTCACAGTACTAATGACTCACACAGCATGAACCTGCGTACTCAGACATGCAATAAATTAACAACTTCATCATGAAGTAGGAAGAATCCCATGCTAAATGGAAGAAGTCTTCACTCGGGGTATAATTCAGACATGCCACAAAACCACCAAAGTGAGTATTTATTTGCTCCTGAGATTTTTGTCGTACGATTCCGAAGGAGAATATCGTACGAGGCCGACGTTGCATCATGTTGGTAAATTGTTGGTGTTCGACAGTGTCATCCTCGGGTTTGAGCGAAGGGGTTCTCAAGCGAACCAATACATTTATCAGGTGAACATCAAACGGCTATTCCTCACAATTGTCAGATCTATTTCAGTCGATTGAGTAATGCCACCCTGTACGCTCTAGAACTCACATAGTCGTCTATATAAGACGAGCAACAAGACCGACGAGCCCTAACTGGTTTGTGGTTAGATATGAGTTGCCATTCGGGCAAAGGCGACAGGGTCGGCGGGCTGAAATAGGCTTTTTCCGATGGATTCGAGATTTAAACCCAATCTTTGAGAGCTTTTTCGTCATGCAATGTGTCCTCATTGTCTTCCAGATTCTTCAAGAGTAAGTTAGAGTAAGATACCCGTGCCACATTAATGATTAAATGATATCGATGAAGTTTCTCCAAGGAGTTCCAAATCTCAGAGCTGATAGTCTGAGCGTAGATTTACTACCCCTGTCCTGCAAGGTCGCCACAGTTGTGGCTAAGGAGTATCAGGTTTGTTCATAACTTCTCTGCAATATAACCTTTTTAAATGACAATGCCTTTTCTCCCCACCAGAATGACCTTCATGTTATACCCTTTTTATTCAGAATCACCTAATCTAGTATACTATACGAGATGGAAATCGAGGACTAAGAATATATATATAATCTATAACTAACTATAACTATAACAATAACTATCTAACCTTTCATATTGTGACCAAAAGGGTATAAACAGGACTCCGATTGTGTACTTAGAATCTACAAGTGAAGAGCTATATAGAGTACTAAAAGGAGGACTATATATACAGGTATTAGAAGTCATAAGGGTTAGATCCAAAAAAGTGAAAGAGTCCTAGAGATAAGTATCGTACAATGCCTAGGTCTAGAGCTATAGAAAGGAAGGTCCAAGAGAGCCATCGTATCATGCTACATATGTAGTATAAGCCAGTGGGCGGAAGAGAGCCGTCTGTTTCCGTCACAAATAGTATTCCTTTTTTTTTTTTGTGATTAGATTAATATATAAATTTGTAACCAGAATAGTATCATTTCTATTCCTGAGATTAGATTAATATATTTTATTTTGTAATTAGAATAATACAAAAAACTTAACCTGAAATAGTATATATTATATCTCGATTAATACTTAAACTATTTCAGATATCAAAGTTCAAAATAATGCTATTCCAGGTATTTACCATTTATTTTATATACAATTTGTATACAATTTAAAATATTCAATAACTTTTTATTATAAATAATTAAAAATAATCTATTAATTTTATTAGAATATTTGATATTCAAAAACTATAGAACAAACTTTTTATTTTGAATTATTTTATATATTTAAACTTTTATTAAGAATAATCGTTTTTTTATCAAAATATTTTGTGAAAATATCAAATATTTTAAATGAATGATAAATCATCGATTTTTATTTCAAATAAATTGGTTTTCTATAATATAAATCTGATAATACTATACAAAAACTATAAATTTATTTTTGTTTATTTTTGTTAAAAAGTTATTAGGATTTTTAGAATATTTTGAAATTTGTATACAAATCGTATACAAAATGAAAATTTCGATTTTTTAACCTTAATAACTTTTTATATAAAATCACAAAAAATCTGAAAGTTTGTAATTGAGCTAATAACTATATAAAGAATCTATTAATAAAATTTAATTTAATTTTATTCATTGAATAAAAGGTTATAAATACCTAAAAATCACTGTTTTTGGTGTGAAAGGGTGGCCCAAAAGGGGGGGTGGCCGAAAAGTAGGGTAGTGGACTTATAATCTAATTCCCCAAATCTTCTACTTCTACGTATTTGAACTATGTTTCCTATTTCCTCTCCGTGAAACTTTTTCCGTACCTTAGGGATTTCAAGACTTCAAGTGGACTGGGTAATCCCATTATATACGTAATATCAGAGTGGATAATTAGACAACTAAGTAAGGCTTTCCTTGAATAATCCTTGGAAAATCAATGTATAATGCATGCATATGCACATGATTTTCATCATTTCATATTACAAGTAAATCAACAATACTTTCCCCTCCCTTTCATTTCCCTTTCACATTCCCTTTCATCCCCATCATCCCCTATAAGCCCTACCCGCTGAATACAAATCAAATATGACGATTCAACTACATAACCACTTCATCAACCTATTACTCAAAAGTTTTCCCTCTCTCTTCCTCTCTCTTCCTCTCTCCTCCTCCCTCCTCCTCCCTCCTCCTCCCTTCCCCTTCCACATTCCCATCCATCCACCCCCTAAAGAAACCCCACTACTCGTTGCTCATTACCTCATCAAACTCAACCTATATCCAATCCCATACACATCAAACCCTCCACAAACCCACAAACCCACAACCCAACATCAAAACTTCTTCTCCTCTTCTCTTCTCTCTCTCTCTACTCAAATCTCTCTATCTCCCTAGATTATCTATCCATCCAACTATCCAACTAAATTCCCAATTCCTATCTCTAATTCCAAATTCCTCGCCTAATATAATAGCTATATAGTGATGATCTAGCCAGTATATTCTAGCTAATATATATCTAATCAGAGTGGCCAATTAGCCAATTAGTCAGTTAGTTAGTCAGTTAGTCAGTTAGTCAGTTAGTCAGTTAGTCAGTTAGTCAGCTATCAGCCAACTATTAGTTCCTAACTGATTCACTGATAATATGTTATTATTATCACTAACTTACTAATCTCGCTAATTAGTTGCTTATCACTTAATATATAATCTTTATTTAACAATGATATATTGATTCCGCCCCCCTCCTCTCCTTCACCCTTTACTCTTCAACACCCCCTCCTCTTTCCTTTCTTCAATACTTCCTCCCCTCTTTCTCCCATCGAAACTTTCTCCTCCTCCATCCCCCCTCCCCTTCCCCTTCCCCTTTTCCTCCCTTCGATGCCCCCTCCCTCTTTCTTCTTTTGCTACTAAATTTTCCTCCATCCCTTCAATACCAAGCTTCAAGCTTTCCCCCCCTTTCTTTCCTTTATAATTTATATACTTTTATACTTTTATAATTTTATATTAAAACATTAATAATCCAAATAAACATTATCTATCTATTCATTCATCCATCCATCTATCTTCTCCTCCTCCTTCCTCTCCTTCCTCTTCAAAAATTAAAATCCAAAAATATTTTATCTAGTACTCGAGTAAATCCACTCACACTCCACATTCAACAAAAAATCCAATCAGTTTCAGTTGATAAACTAGCTTAGACTATCACTACTACATAGACTATCCTTTCGCAAACTTGCTTATAGTATTTTAAACATCTACCTAGCTTTTATACTGATTTATATTGATACTCGCTGACTTAGACTTGGCTACTCTGTATTTAAATTATTTTGATTCAGAATTTCAGTCTAATAATAATCTAATATCTATCTATACTATACTATACAATCGTAACCGTCACGGGTAATAGATAGTACAGTACTCGAGTAGATTTATAATACGAATTATAATACGAATTACAAAACAAATATATTCTCTTTATATTCCTTTCATCATTGTTTATTATTACTCTTCTATTCTATAATATCCTATTATATCTCATCCCATCCCATATTATCTCATCTTACTCAAAAAGACAATAGAAAAGATAAAAGAAATCAAAGAAAAAGCGAATATAATATAGAGAACCAAAAGTAAGAAGATATGTTATACTTTAGTGAAGATAAATAATATAAATCTGTTTTATTTATTAGGTTATTGCTATAATTTTGTTACTCGAGTATAGTTATATCTCTGAACTATACTAAAGTATGTGGTGTAAAGTGGGATCAACCTCATTGATATACAGACAATCTGCAACAACAACCATCCTTCCGCCACATCAATGATATAAATAATATCAATCTCATCATCTCACTTGAATATAAACATCGACCAAAACTCATTAAATTAAGAGAAAGTGGTATCATAATTAACTACACTGAAGAGATGTATAACAAAAAGAATGAATCTTTCAATGTCAAAGACCGGGGGTATTGATGTTAAAAGAAAACGAAACCATCAGAACCATCAAAACCATCGTATCATATAATATCGTATCCAAAGCCGAAATCCCAGCCGAATCCATTTGCTCCAATCCACAATTAGCGAGGACTGCTCCTCTTTGCCTTTCCATCATATAACCATTGAATCCCAAATGCATCAAGAAATTGACGGTACGTAAAGTACAATGTTGGAAATTGCCGTGTCCGACCGACAAGCGTCAACCGTGCAACGATTTTTTGAAAATCGCACACAGTGATGTTCAAGTAGACCAAGCTGCAAGAGCAATTTGAGTGTCAGTGAAAACCCCCCTTTAGATATTTTCAATGACATGGGCATTTAAAGCGCTTTGAAAACCGGGATCCTGACCTCCAAAATCACCAATATCATTTCTGCTACTAGAAGCGCCACCATGAGCTGAACCTTCCCCCAAAGCATTTGCCATTTGACTTCCAATAGTCGAAGCACCTGGTAAGAAAATAACCTTGCTGTTGGCAGATTTAGCCATGGCTTGCATTGCCTCGAGATATCTGATTTGCATGGCAGGGGCGCTGGATAGAATATCGGCGGCTTGGCGCATGAGCTTAGCGGACTCAACCTCAGCACGAGCAGCAATGACTTTAGATTCTCCGATACGCTTGGATTGTGCGGCCATGGAGAGAGAGTCTTGAAGTTCGTTGCTGAAGATCATGTCCTTGATGAGCATGCTCTCAACCTGCACACCCCAACCTGATGCGACATCTTCAATTATTTCCTCGATCGATTGAGCAATTTCCTCACGACGTTCGATGACATCTTGTAAAACACGAGCACCAACAACGTGACGAAGAGTGGTTTGTGTACGCTCGACGAGTGCTTGGCGCACATTGGAAATACCGAAGGCGGCCTTGTGAGGTGAGGTGATGTGATAGTAGATGACCGAGGTCAAATGTAAAGTAACGTTATCTTTGGTCATGCAAACTTGTTGGGGAACCTCTGTAAAATATAAAATTAATGGCGCAGTCTTGCAGAAGGATGGGATGTAAACATACCAACAATCTGAATCTTGACATCAACCTGAATAAGACGCTCGCTGAGGGGATTGATCTTGACAAGACCAGGGTCGACTGCACGATAAAAGCGACCGAACTTGGTAACGAGACCGACATTACCCTGCGAAACTGGCTTATATGGGTTTGGGCAGACGAAACAACATGGAATAGCACCACAGGTACCAATGCATGAGCCAAGAGTATTGACTATGTGCGAACAATAGTTAGTGATCGATCCATTAAATATGCGCAAACATGCTAAGGAGAATCAAACTTACTCATGCTTCCATACCATCCATTTGTGTTTGTATCGTCGTCACCTTGCAAAACTTGGGCATATGATGGTTGGAGATCTTCTCTTCTTGGCGGTTCAACGTTGACCATGGGATTATCGGTACGACCTGGCGTACTGCGAGAAACATTGTATCCATTGTGTTGTCCAGATGAACTGCCGGCCGAAGCAGGTACGAATGGTTTGTGAAGGTCGTCGCTCATTGTTTGTTTACCATCTACACTTGAAGACATGTTGAAGGAATGTTGACTTCTTGATTGTATGTCGATGAGAGTGTTGTCTTTAAAATAGAATAGAGAATAGAATGAAGAAGTTGTAAGTGTACGTTGATGATTGAAAAAAAAAAAGTGGTATGACAAATGATGTGTGAATGTGAATGATTTCCCGGGAGGGAAGGGGGGGGAGCACTTCGATTATGTAGTTGACGGATTGTTGATTGTTGTTATTGTTGCAGGTGATTGATTGATTGATTTGATCGAGGCGGATTTGATGGCTTGGACCTTTTTGCGGGGAAGGAATGGATAAACGGGAGATAAGTGGAATATAAGTGGGACGTTTAATGGAGAAGAAGTCAATCTGGAATGAGATACTTGTCTCGAAATACTGTAACCGTTTCTTATGTGAATAAAATGATATGATGAGAATACCTACGTAGGCATATGAATTAATTGTCTCTCTTCTCTTCGTCAAATTATGAGATGATTGCATACAAAAAATGCCTCGTTATCAATTTCTTACCGATACTCTTTCCTTATTGATTGATCGTCGCCATTTGACATACATACATTTGAATTCTGACTCCCAGCTTTTTTTTTTTTTTTTTGCTGCGCCCCCCCCAAATCTATCCTCCCTTGTGATAACCATAGCTATCACTACTGACTGCCTACCTAGTATCCTAGTACCAGTGATCGCGATCAGCCTTACTCCGTATAAGTTATTTCTCTCTCATTATTACTCGGTCAACAATCATCATTTTTATCATTATCAATCCTCTCACCTTCATTTCGTATAAGTCAAGTAGATGTCTCATTCCGAATTGAGTCAAATCATGAATGCGGGTCTATTATTCTTCAGCCCTTCTAGAACATTACTTCATTTTGTCATTCATAGGTTGCCTTGTCAATTTCCTAATCCAACTGTGCTATATTATGTTAACGTTATCCGTCTTTACATGAGTTATTTTCCACCTTGACTTGACTGCCTAGATCGTTGTTCCTCATTTCTCATTTCTAGGTAATTTTCGTTTCCTTTTCGAATTCCTATGTACTCGAGTATGTCTCATCCGCTTCCTGATGATCTTAAAGCTCAGCCCTGCCAAGATTATCTATACCCACCCTTGGGATCTACTAGGTACAGTATGTACTTTAGTGGTAGGATCCATTGTACGTACCCATATACCCACATAATGTCAACACACTCGTCATCTTCTTTCCAAAAGATCTCGTCTACTGTACATTGCAACCACAAATACCAGCTTCCTATATAAGCCTCATGACTGTCCAACGAGATCGGAATTCATTCAATGATTTGAGTAAACGAGGCGCAGTCTTCAATCACAAATGCTGCTCCCCGAATCTCCTTTCTCTGTACAATGCTTAGAGCCTTACCTACTTACCTAGACGACAGACCAATAACATGCAAACCACACAAGGTATCTTTGGATACAGCAACCAATCAGCAATCTGATCATCCAACTCCATACAGTAAGTAGTACATACCATGTTTGCAAGTTGCAATACCAAAGTCTCATGATTTTGAATTACACACGCACAATCAGGACATCTCATCACTCCTGTACAGTGCGGCCAGCATTAACACGTTAGTTAATAAACCCACTTTTCCATTCTATTCTCTCACTCTTCCTTCTTTCCCCGATCTCGGTAAATAGATGCTGAGTACGCTATATACATACTGTGAACACGGTCCGGCTATAGCTTCCGAGATCAACTATCTATGCCTTGACGAGAATAAGAACCTCCGACAGGGAGTATTGTAACAAACGGACTTGTTTGAGGCTGCATTTGTTACTTGCCAAGGCATGAATCGGCAACAGATAGGCGGGTCGACTATCTTATTTACGGTATGCTTTTATTTCTATATATATCGGTGCTGGAGATATGCGGTATATTGTACTGGGTATACCCGGTGTGGTTTGTAATTAACTATTATAGAGAAATAAAATACTATTTTATACTATTTCGATTTATTTATTTTAATATAAAAATTCATGATAGATATAATATAGTATTACTCAAGTTGATATTCTAGAAAACTCTATCTTATTAAAGTCTAACTATCACCGCGTAGAGACTAATCCCTTCCAGGAACTAGCCGGAAAAGCATAGATGTAAAAGGATGTGACCAAAAGGGTATAAACAGGACTCCGATTGTGTACTTAGAATCTACAAGTGAAGAGCTATGTAGGATGCTAAAAGGAGGACTATATATACAGGTATTGGGAGCCATAAGGGCTAGGCCAAAAAGGGTGAAAGAGTCCTAGGCGTAAGATGCCTAGGTCTAGAGCTATAGAGCTAGGGCTCTAAGCTGTGAAAGGAAGGTCCAAAAGAGCCGTCATATCATACTATGTATGTAGTATGAGCCAGTGGGCGGAAGAGAGCCGTCTGTTCCGTCACATAATAACTCCAAGGAGGATATTTTTGACGAGGATATATACTTTATTGATTACTTTGAGAGAATCAGTCCTGAAAATACTCTGGTATATCTAAAAGAATCAATTATAATTTATTAGAAGAATGTAATCCCAGAGCTATTCTGAGCTCCTATGGAATCAATAAAAATCGATAAAAAAGAACAAAACCTATTAAAGGAAGAAAAAGTAATACATATTTTTCTTCAAAAAAAAAGCTATCAAATAATAGAATAATACACTTCGAAGATAATTTAATAAAGGATTAACTATTGTACCCCTAGGGGCCTCCCAAGGAAAAGCCAATAAAGACTCAGAGGAGGAGTAGAAAACTCGAAAATTAAAGGATAGAATCTATAAGTAAAAACTTGAAATTAGTTGATGTCCTAATATTCCTAATATACATTATGGAGGGTTTTTGGAGAAATACCGGGTCTTTATTCAAGAATACAATTTTTTTTAATAATATACTAATAATCTATAAAAAGGATATTTATAAGATATATTAGGTATCTACCTATCTCCAGAATTCCTTCGTAAAACAATAGACTAATGTGAAAATAATCCTTATTAATTCTATATAGGATTACTTTCGGGAATTCCTCTATAATCTGATTGAATTATCTATAGTTAGGTACTGGGATGTATCTGTAAAATAGTTTTGAGTTATCTAAAAAATCAAGATTTTGACAGAATATACCAATTTGTCAGTTTGATACAAAACCGAATTAGAAAAACTCACAAAAT